CAACAAACAGACTGCAGAGGTATTTGTTTTTCTGATTTGCCTGTTGTAATTATTTAAGAGGTATTTGTAGAAATTACTGGATCAGAATTTGAAACTGTCACCTGTTTGACTTGATTACATTAAAGTTGTATATTGATATCTGGTTTAAAATGTATTGGCATACTTCTAAAACTTCTCTTTTTAGGAAAATATATGTAATATTGCTAATTCTGTATTACACACACACACACACACACACACACACACACACACACACACACACACACACACACACACACACACACACACACACACACACACACACACACACACACACACACACACACACACACACACACACACACACACACACACACACACACACACACACACACACACACACACACACACACACACACACACACACACATGTATATATACACATTTTTTGTGTGTGTGTGTGTGTATTTCTTATTTTAGAAATGTCATTTACAACTAATAGGTATGATATACAAGAAAAGTAATTGTGTATCAAATACCAGGACATGATATATGAATTTTCTTTTATGTTTAGGTGGCCCTGTCCAATCTGAAGTCCAAGTATGAAACAGAAAAGAGCATAGTCTCAGAAACAATGATGAAACTTCGCAATGAACTGCGTCTCTTGAAGGAGGATGCTGCTACATTCTCCAGTGAGTTTTATTGTTATTTTTTTTATTACCACATGTACTTTAAGTACCTTATAAATAAAATACATCTGTTTAATGAAGAGTATTATGTTAACATCAATTTGTTCAGGAACTTTTGTATAAAAAAATTTGTTTAAAGGTGATTCAACTGAGATTAGCACAGGCTTTATGACAAGATATTAAGTATACTTTGCTTCTGTTAATCACAGGTCTCCGTGCTATGTTTGCTGCACGTTGTGAGGAATATGTAACACAGTTAGATGAAGTACAACGGCAGCTAGTGGCAGCTGAAGAAGAGAAAAAGACACTTAATTCCTTGCTACGAATGGCTATCCAGCAGAAGCTAGCTCTTACTCAGAGACTGGAAGATATGGAATGTGACAGAGAAAGGTGAGTCTCTTCTTTAGTTTGCATAATTCTCCAAATTTTGTGTTTAGTCTTTGATGATTTGCTGGACCTAATTATTAAGAATGGGAGATTTCAGTAATGTAATTGTTCATGTATTGTAAAGAGTCCATGCAGTTAAGTGTAGCTACTTAAGTGCTGTAAAATCGTCTTGATTACTACTTTCAGTAAACATTTTTTTTCCAAAAAATGATTGGGAAATATTTTCTAGATAAAGTTTACATGAGAAATCCAATCTGAAATGAATAAGTAAATGTCCATGTTCATAGAGCTACTGCACATCTTGTGAGATTCTCTCCAGATTACAGGCTTAGCCTTTGTTTGAATACTAGTATTTCTTTCTCAGGTTCAACATGCGAAAGCATCCTGGGAGCAGGGGTAGAGCTTACAGTTCCAGATTTAACAACCAGCCACATGCTTCTCCATCACAACACCATTACCAACGCAGAGATAATTATTAAAGTGTAAATGACTGTATTTAAATGTATTTATGTGAAGCAAAGCAAGAGATCAGATGTTGGTTGGAAGGTATTACAGTGTTTTGGTTGAAATAGGATGATTCATCATAAAGCCAGAACATCTGTATCTTATTTTTTAAACTTGTGTTCTCTTCCTGTATTCAGCTTCAAACTTGTTTATGCTGTGTCATGAAGACCTCAGAAACTGGAGTTATCTTACAAAGACTTTTTACACTTGTAAAAATGCAAGTTCTTGAGGATGGATTGATACTTTGAGGAACTTTTCCTGGTGTAAATGATAACAAAAATCATATACAGGTTGGCAAGTGTCTGCCAGTGAGGGGAAGGCTGGGTGTGGCTGTCATCTCTTCTGCTTTATAACCTGGATTTAGTGCATGAGAAAGGAATTGATGTATGGAGAAGCAGCTATTGGGAAATGTTGGATTGTAACTTGTTAAAAGTGTGCCCCTTTTTTAGTCTTACGCTGTTTCTTGTTTGTGAAGCAGAAAGTAGTTGACGAAAAAAAAATGTTTTAAATGAAATTGCTTTAATTTTAGATTATATATATATATTTGACTTATTTTAATTCTTTTTTACTATTGACTCTTAATGTACAGGATTTTTGTAATTAAGTGAATATTTCTTTTATGAATTTCAAAGTACATAGTAATATTCATGTGCAGGTCATATCGTCCAAATCAGAACAGAGGCATGTCCACAATGAGAACTGTGTTCTTTACCCATAGTATCTCAGAAGCTTTAAAACTTAAGAATAAGTTGTATGATTCTTCCCAATCTAGATACCTTGTAATACTACAACGTCCAAAAAAATTAAAATTGCATTACAAATACCTGATAGATCATAAGATTTAGAATTTTAATTCCTATTTACTTACAAAATCAAGTATTTTTCAAAGAAATATTGTATAAAGCTTATGCATACTATCAGTAAAGTTTGTTAATAATGCCATTTGATAATTGAAATTGTACGTCAGTGAATATTACTTAGTTGGCGTATGCTCCCAAGTACGGGCCATAGGTTGTATTAAGAGATCCTGCCTCGTTGCATACTCATTATTTGGAGACAGTTCTGTTCAGAGCCTGGACAAGAGTAGCAAACAGTCTACAAATGTTACACATTTTTCTTTCATATTTACCTGTAATTGATTTTAGAGTTGCATAGAAGAGCCATTAATTTTGTATGGATGAAATGTAGTGTCATTTTTTTTTTCTCTCTCTCCACTTTTTTATTATTGTTGAGTGGGTGATCTGTTTGCTGGGTGGAAAGGTTGCTATATAGATATTGAAGTCTCTCTGAAATCTACAATTGAATAGGTCATTTTTATTTGTGGAAGTTAAAATGTACTACTAAAGAGCTTAATTCTTTTTTGCAGTTGACCACAAATGCATATTTGTACATGAGCTAGGAAGTTAAGGGCAGCTCACATGTGACACTATGATCTTGATGAACCAGAATCAGTAGTTGGTCATCTTTTTAAAATGTAGACATGATCTGTTTTGCAATTGTACTAAAAGACAATGCTGATTCTACTTAAAGTAATATTTTTACAGTTCTTAACTTCCATGAATCTCTTTATATAGTTATATTTGTATTAACCAGAATTTGTATGACAGATGCAAAGTTGGATTTTATGATAGTGTCTGGCAGGATAAAATGTCAGAACCGCTCAAGAAATGTACTTATGTTTTTTTTAACAAAGATTTTTGGTCAAGGTACTTTACTGATAGGTAGCTCAGCCTGTTCAATGTTATGACTTCCATTTTTTCTGTTTTCTTGTAGCATTGATTGTAAACAAATTGGACATAAGAATAAATCAGTCTGCCTCATTTTCTTGGACACAGAAGTAAGTATTATTTTGCAGAATAGGGTTGTTGGTAGTTCATGTAATCATTGCATTTGCCTTGTGCAAGTGCTTATATAGTCAGGATATTGACATAGGAATGCTATAAAAGAAGCGTTTTAATTTTTTTTATTGATTTACCATTTCATAAGTGTTCATGGTGGCAAAAAGGTGCCCACTAATATTCTTTCTGAAATGAAGAAGCATTTCTATTAATTTCAAGCAAAATAATAAAGTTGTTGAAATTGAAATAAATTTTTAAAATCATATGGTGCATTTAGTTAGGGGAGTGAGTTTTGTATGAGAAAGAAGAGATAAAATTGATATTAGGTAATATGATCATATATTTCAAACATTGAGGGTGCTACTCAATAATTCTTTCACAGGTAGTTATCCAGATTGTTAATGGTCTTAATGTGATTATAATTTTTTTTTAGCTTATTTTCACATGATAGTTTTTTTTTTTCTTTTATTATGCAAAAATCGGAGAGCTAGGCTGCTATATTTATTGATTTTTTATATACATGGTATACTGTGCTTGAGAAGGGTTCATATCTCAGTCGTGTTACCTGTTCACATTTGTGTTCTTGCAATAATCATTAAAGTTTTTTTTTTTATTTGTTTATGCTTGTGGTAATATTATTCTCTAAACCTCATGGTAGTTAGCTAGCATTCTTAATAGGATATTGAGATTTTTGTTGTGTGTCTCTTGTTACAATATTTTTTGGTAGGTTTGTGAAGATCATATATGATATATGATACATAATAGCCAATATTTGGCTGATGAAGTTATTGTAATAATCATTAATATTTTTATTGTGATTATCATTAGTATTTTTTAACGTGTCAAAGGCACCGTTTCAAAGCAGCTTGACCAAGGGACAGGAACAGCAACTCAGTTATTGATCACAATTGCTGAGACCATATTACTTTGTAGCATACACATAAAAAAGAAACCAGGTGAGCACTGTAGGGTTGCTTGATAAAGTTTTCAGTGTTGAGAGAACCTTTGCCCTTCAGAGTTTAACCAATTCACTTCAACTTAAACAAGAGAATATGCTTCTATCTTGGCTGATTCTGTAGCTATTAGGTATTTATACAAATAAAAGATCAATTTAAAAGTGTTCTCATAGCAATGGAATTGAATATGAAAGATAATTGTACATGATTGTAGTAGCAGAGAATTTAGCTGTTTTTGGGTTTACTATACTTGGTTGTAAGTTTTTATTTTATTTTTTTCTGTATTGGGAAATGTTGCTGTGCAGCTCTGAAGTAAAAATAACATACTTTTTAAATTATTCTGGTTGTATTTTACTATCACTTTGCCTCAACTTGCATTGATAAGTGTAGAATATCTGTACATAATTCAGTTAACAAGAACTGATGTCATGGTTTGAAAATTATTGGCCCGAAATATTTTCAAGTGTATCTTGTAACCTTGTTTGTTCTGGAATTTTGGTGACATAGGTAGAACAAGGTAACAGCGTTGTGATCTGTATTGTGCTGTGTCATCACTGGCCCCAGTTCTTTTTTCAGTCACTTTGCTTTATCTGTGTACTTGTAAAAGCAGATTTACTATTGTTACTATTTATGGAGCACATCAAGCACATCCTATGTACCCTTGCTAGTATTCCAAGTTGCTTCAGAAGTTTGAAATATTTAGGTGTGTGCCTACTATGTGGGGGCCAGTGTTGCACAAAAGAGCTTGCTTAAAGAAATAGGTCCAGCTGAGCAGTCCAATGTCTCACCATAGAGTTAGGGCAGTTTTAAGTGCTAAAGGATTTATTCATGGTGGTCAATCAGTGTTTTCTTTATAAGTGTCACCACATTGTCACAGTTGCAAAACCTGCTGGAATTTAGTGTCTTGACAGGTATATGCTCCTTTTAGTGAACAGTTAGTATTAGGTTTTGTTTTTCTTTACACTCAGAACCAAAGACACTGTTAGCATAGATTCACATACTTTGCAGTGAAGTTTCAGACATAAGTCGTAGTCCTTGAAATCACAGTGATATATAAATCATTAAGGTGAAGAAAAATATTACTATTGCTGCAGGAAAGATATTGAAGATGGGTATCCCCAAAGTAATAATTCAAGATTAAAGACTAAAATTATAAGATATAGAAGAGACTAATATATAAAATTATTTTAAAATCCAAGTGCTTAGGAGCTGTGTAGATGTTCATTGAAATGTAGAGTGAACCTACTTTTAAGTATGTTATCATACAGTTCTACAATAATCAATGAAAGCCTCCTTTCTTGGGGGATGTAAGAGTTGATCTCCAAAATAATAGCAAGAGATTACTGATCTCTAAAACTGACCGAAGAGAACGTCTTTGTTTCTTGTTGCGTAGTTGGCCTGTTGGTATATTTACGTATTGTCTCATATGATGAGTGGTTCAGCTAACTTATTTTTTAATCTAATTTATTAGCTTTTAAGACTCTTCAAGTAATCTACATTTAGATGCATTTGGTGTAGCTATGCTTGTACAGTATGTTATAGAGATTTTCCATGAGAATTTAAATGGTATATGATTTACAGGGTTTTAGGTAGAGAAGGATGTTAATTGAAGTGGTAGAGTATTTGCATTGGGGTCACATTATGAAACACTGTGGCCATTATGGATACATGGTAATTAAGAGCATAGGTATTTCCATCCATATTTTGTGAAAGCAAATTTCCTTGGAAAAGAAAATGGAGCAGATGTTATGATAGTAAATTATTTTACATGGCAGATGGATCCCAAGAGAGTGTGCCTTATTCTGCAAACGCACTCATGTTTTTTGTGGCAGTGGGTTTTGTGAAAGCTACTTAATTTTGCATGATACAAGAAATAGAAATGATACTTGCTGGATTACATGTAAGTTGACATTTCATGTAGAAACCATCCACATTTGACTGCATCACAGATTCACTTTTTTATATAGTTTGGCCAAGGATGATAAACAAATTAAAATACACAAACTGAAGAAACTCTAACAATTAGTCACTAGTTTTGAACAGTGACATGGTCAGGGGATCTACATCAAATTTTAATGTAATATCAGTGACAAAAAATAGTTTTATGTAATATGATAAAGCAAATATGTTTTTACTTTAATCTGCAGACAGTGAAAATAACCTGTGATTTTATTTTTTTTTCTGTACAGATAATGTCATCTTTGGCTCATAATTTAAAATGAACTTGTATCAGAAGTCATTTTAGTATCGCCTGGCACAGTGTACTTGGGTAACAATTAATACTTTGTGTTGATTTACAGCAGGTGTTTTGTAAAGTGTTTGTGACAATCGGTCTGGGCAGATGGTGGAAACATGCGGGAAAATATATCAAATCTTTTATAATGTTGCCATTGGTATTATGTAGTTTCAGCATATCATGAGAAAAATTATCAGTGGGGAAATACGTAATACTTTGTAATGTGTTCAGTCAGCACCAGAATTATTGCTTGTAAAATGATCAGAAAAGTCCCAACACCAATTAGTCATTATACTGTATACTCTTGTAAGCTCTGCCCGTGACTGTCACACCGTTACTGGGAAGAGTATCTGCAGCACCCACAGTATTTTTACTTTTGTATCTACTTCTTCACTGAGGACTGAGAACTTATTTGTACAATAGGATCCTGTTTACAATAAAATTTTAAAATGAAGAAAGCTGTTTTTGTCCTGTTGATTATAATACTGTTGGAAATTGTATTTTTTTTGATACTGTAAGTTTAAAATAATGGTTTTCATTTTATATACACATGGACCCTCTCCTTTGACAAACCTTGGGTGCATGTTCTCCCTTTTCTTTCCAGCTGCGGTGAGAGTTTTTAAGGTTCTGTCTTTGTAGCCAAGTTTTCAAGACTGACATTATCAAAGGCAGTTTTCGCTTTAGTGAGGGAAACCCAAAGAAAAGGGAAGTAAATATTTAAAGTAACTTGGTTCATGAAACTGTCCTTTACATTGTCAACTTAGAGTTGCTAGTGATCTTAGGTGGCAGCAAGGCAGAAAATTTGAAACAATCTGAATTATACTTTTGTAAAAACGAATGCGAGGGGAATAAATATCTTTAATAATCATATCCTTTTTATCAGCTCCAACACCTTAAATATTTTGAGAAAATAATCGAAATGCTCTCTTCCATAAATATTCGTCTACACACATTGTATTGTGAACATGACCTTGCGCAAAGAAAGAGATAGGAATGTATAAAGTATCTTTCATTTGTAGCTTTTACTTTGATGATTTTGTGAGAATGTGAACTACGTGTATAAGTCTAAAGATAAAGCAATGTAAGTTTTGAACACTATAGGAGTTGTCCGATAACAGATTCCGAGGTAAGATAGACTTTCAACACGAGTGAACTCCATAATGGTAACACCATTTTGGGCGAGTTCTGTTGTCAGAATTTGTCATTTAACACTGCAGTAGGTCAACAGAGAAAAGCATGAGCGAGATAAAGATATTTAAAATTATATTTTTCTGGACATTATTTTAAATATATATACAATGTCTTAATTGTTATATTAAATACATATTTACAAATATATATATATATATATAAATGATATATACCTATCTATCTGCGTCTATCTACCTGCCTACCTACCTACCTCTGTGTGTGTGTGTGTGTGTGTGTGTGTGTGTGTGTGTGTGTGTGTGTGTGTGTGTGTGTGTGTGTGTGTGTGTGTGTGTGTGTGTGTGTGTGTGTGTGTGTGTGTGTGTGTGTGTGTGTGTGTGTGTGTGTGTCTGTGCGCGCGTGCGTGTGCGTGTGCGTGTAGTGTGTGTGTGTGAGTGAGTGTGATACCGATGCATCGCACGTGATCTGAATCTCTTTCATTCTCCAGCTTCCAAGCACACTACCAACAACCCCTTCGTCTCCCATCAGTCACTCGCAGAGGAGAAACGTTAAGTAAATTCTGTTACCTAACAGTTCCTGATTATCTGTCTTGGGCGTGCCATCATGCATGCACACGCTCGCAGGCGCAGTTAACGTAATGGCGATCATCACTCTCCTGTCTTGTTGATCTGTTAGCTCACTCAGGCTTGTCGAGCTTTCAAGACCTTTTATTAGAGTCATCATCTGATGCCAAGACGAATGTAACGTTTGTTCACCGCTTGAAATCACCGGTGCATTAAGGTAGTGCGAGTTACATGTCATACTTGAGGGAAACATGTGGTCCAACGTCATAAACTTCATATCCAAAGCTGTATGTTTGAATAGGGTTACTCATCATCCGTCTTCAGTTTTTGACTTACGATGACCGCTTGGCAAAGATTGTCTAAAGATCCGTTATTTCCTGAAAAAAAAAATATATATATTGGCCGTAAATAAGAACAAAAACTACATTTCATAAAAACGATATAATCCAAAGGTAATGAACTGACACGTAAGTTAAGTTACCCACAGCATTATCCATGAACAATTTAGAACAATTTGAGAATATTTCCCTCCCCCCCCTCCATAAATCAAGAATAAAAAGGGGAAAAACATACTCAGTACAAAGAACACAACTGCATTCAATTCCAAAGTAGTTTTACGTGACGCGGTAATGCGTTTGTTATGACAACAGCTACACAAGATGGCTTTAGCGAAGTGCAACAGCCATTCAACAGCCATTCAGTAATGAGGTTTGTTTGTAAGTCTTATTTTATTTTTTAGTGTATAAGCTGTTGTCTGTTGTTCCAAGACAAAGATAATTATAGACTGTTTTTGAAGAAAAAACATGTATCACTGGTTATGGAATAATAATATGCTGGTGTATTCAGTTATCCATTACTAATGCTGTTATGATAGAAATGATAATGGAGACGATTATGTCGATGGTAATGATAGTATTATTATAATGATAGTGATAGCAACAACAATGATGATAACAGTGCTGATAGTTATAATGAAAAAGAAAATTATAATGATTATACTGATAATGAAAATAGTAATAATAATACTGATAATAATAAAAATGATGATGATGATAATGATGGTAATGATAATGATAGCAATAACAATAGCAACAGTACTACTACTACTACTGCTACGACTGCTGATAATAATAATGATAATTATAATAGTTGTAATGTAAAAATATGTTAATAATGACAATAATAATATTAATGATGATTATGATGATAATAACAACAACAACAACAACAACAACAACAATAATAATAATAATAATAATAATAATAACAGTAATAATAATAATAATAATAATAATAATGATAATAATAATAATAATAATAATCATAATGATAATAATAATAATAATAATAATAATAATAATAATAATAATAATAATAATAATAATAATAACA